ATGTTCCTTTTGGTTGTGTCAAAGTGTTTATCCGTTGGAGAAATTCGTCCCAATGAATCGGTTTTTCGCATTTTGGACGTTGAATTTTATTCGCTCACTAACGACGCGTGGGACCATTCAACCAGTAATACGTATGATGAGAAAGGAATTTCGATGGCACAATACGATCAGGTGCCACAACAACAGTATTATGATCATCCTTGCAATCAACTGAAAAAATTTCTTTCGAATGGACATTTTTATTTTTCCTCGAACTTCGATTTGACTAGATCATTGAATGTCAGGTATTGTCTCTAGCTTGAGAGAAAATTTCGTACTTTCAAAGGTCGTATGCAACAATTCACCTGTTTGAGTCTTATCAGAACTATGCAGTCCTCGGCAGACAAATACACTTTTGATGATTATTTTCTGTGGAATAAATTCATGATCAAAGAATTATTGAACTTTCGATCAAAACTTAGCAAATCGGAGCGAAAAGAGATGGATGGTGGCGGTTTTTTGGTAACGATTTCGAATTCTGCATCAATGCAGAAAGCAATTTGCTATTTAACACGTTCAACTGTGTGAACAGGTGCTTACCATTCACGGGTATGTTGGAAGCCAACGTGCAACTCTCGGGTCCGAAGAAGTTACGATTTCGGTGATATCGAAATTAAGTTGTAAGCGTGCTGGTAGGTACTCCGCGCGCGATATTGAATTTGACAACGTTCGATACACGTCAATAAACATTTTGATCCTCTTCTAAGGTACACGATACAATACACGTGGGCTCGATGACGATGGAAACGTGGCGAACTTTGTTGAGGTACATCAATCGCTAACATCCTTCAAATTTTATCAATTGTTTTTTTTTAAGATAAAAAGAATTTGAAGTGAATGATCCATTCCTTTATTTTAGACGGAAACAATTTTGCAGATGGGGACAACGTGTTATTCATATGTACAAATTCGAGGCAGTGTGCCAGGTATTTTTAAAAATATGAATTATAATTTGAAAAAATTTTTTTTTCTCATTTTCCTAAGGTTGTTTTATTTATTTTTTTTGTGTTCAATCTATGCAGTGTTCTGGGAACAACAAGTTAGTCATATCATACATTTTTTTCTATTATATGCACATAATTAATCTTTCAATCCTTTTGTCGATTCTGTTTTTTCTTGTAAAGTAAAGATTTCAACTATTTGTTTATGAAAATTAAAAGGGTCTTCAAATGGTAAATCACAAAATACAAATATCACGTGGTCCTGCGGCAACCCTGCCAGCCGTCGAACGACATTTTAATGAACTGCAAAGCAGATACGGTGAGGTGCATATCGTAAATCTCCTTGGAGTTAAGGAAGGAGAAGCTGTTCTGAGCGGGGAGTACAGAAAACGGATAGAGGATCTGAATGGCAATGGATTAGAGAATAGGGTGCAAATGACGTCATTTGATTTTCATACAGTCTGTAAAAACAATTATGAAAATGTGAATCTGTTGCGTAATGAGATCGAGGGAAGATTAGAATCCTTCGCATTCTTTGTCATAGATGTAGAATCGAATACACCTATCTTTTATCAAAAAGGTGTATTTAGAACGAACTGTATGGATTGGTATGTGCTTCCCAAGTCATTTTATCATGCTTTTTTCCTCGAATTCCAGGAAGCTAAGCAAAGATTAATTTGTTCATGTAAAAAAGTCTGGATAGGTATGTCGACTAGTAAACCCGATAGCCATGATTCCTTTTTTGACTCGCCCTTAGTGACTATACCTTTTCTTCGAGTTAGAACGAACATTGTCCAGAAGGTTATATCCAAAGCTACTTTGGAAATTTATATAGGACAAATACAACCTATCGATTGTCCCGAAGTTGAGACTCTATATTCTCGACATTCTTATCTATGGGCAGAAAATGGGGATAGTTTATCAAAGATATATACTGGTACAGGTGCTCTGAAGTCGGAGTACACTCGCAGTGGAAAATATACATGGGCAGGTGCGATTTCGACTTTCAATTGTGTCATCATATATATACGTTATATTAATTGTGTTTGCTAAATATTTGTGTTGTGTTAAAGGAGTTTTAAATGATGCTACCAAAACGATGAATAGATTTTACATTAACAATTTTCAGGATAAATCAAAGCAAGAAGTTATTGATATATTGCTTGTAAGTGGATTGTAACCTCAACGATAGCTTCTTAAGGTCGGTCATTAACGTGTATATATTTTTAATAAAGGGAAAGCTTTTGAACTCCAAGGCAATCGAAATTCATGATCCGGTGAACGAAATGGTTCGTCTAGACATGCAGAATAGGTACTTTACAATCTACATTGAAATCGATGATCTGCGGGTTTTCATTGATGGATTGGTCGTCGATTTTTGTCAAACCTGTTTTTGTAAAACAGACTGAAGGACTTTTCGGAAAAATCAACGATAACCGTTTTCGTTGGTACTTACAATTTAAACGGGTCTCTACCTTCTGGAGAATCGCTTGTGCCATGGCTTTTTGCTTTCAGCGATTGTATGTAATTTAATTGCTTTATAATTTCTTTATAAAGGAAACACTAAACATATGCATTGGATTTTTAGATGCGCCTAGACCACATTTATTCATAATTGGTTTTCAAGAAATTGTAGAGTTAATGCCTCAACAGGTATAGTAAATAACGACATTGTTTTGCGTACTTTATTGATGAAATAAATACACTGTATTCTAATATGTTTTCACGTTTAAATTTGAGTGACATTAGATAGTTTCGGCTGACCCGGAGAAATTGTAAGATTGAAGTTGTGACCATCGAGATTGGTTTTATATATTATGATTGCCAAGTTCTTATAATTGATTAAATTTTTCAAGGCGCATTTGGGAACGAGAAATAAGTAGGACACTTAACCAGAAATTGGATCAAGATTTCGAATATGTAATAATAAGGTCCGGTCAGTTGGTTGGAACGGCATTGATAATCTACGCGAGGGCTGACATTGTATCAAATATACGTAACGTTGAATACATTATGAAAAAGGTAGACTTTTCTATGAATGCGATGTTTAGAATGTAATATATCCATATTAATGAAATTGGATATTCAGACAGGTTTGGGTGGAATGGCAGGTAACAAGGGTGCAGTCGCTATCCGTCTCGATTATAATGACACCAGCATGTGCTTTGTGACCGCGCATTTTGCTGCTGGTTAGTATTGTAACTATGCGCATTATTTTGACTAGAATTCAATAAACGCTAATCTGTAACGTGATTTTTCAGGCCATTCTAATTATGAGGATAGAAATAAAGATTATATGACGATCAACGAAGGCTTGATTTTTAGAAACGGTCGCAAGCTCAATCATCACGAGTGAGTTGATCCATCGATTCATATGATTTTTAATCATTCCCTATTAATTAATGCCGAATTCATATTCAGTTACGTCATTTGGTTGGGTGACTTTAATTATCGAATATCTTTGGATAACGATAAGGTAATTCCACTTTTCCCGGAATGTTATTCACTTGCAAAGAACAAGAATATGCTAACACGCCTCTAATGATAGGTTCGAAGACTTGTCGCAACCGATTTTACAGAATTGTTGTGTGAAGAACAGGTACAAGTTTGTCCATGGTCGCATTGAGTTCTTTCAAATGGATATTAAGTCATCCGTCATTTTTAGCTGATAAGAGAAAACACAATGGGACGTGCATTCACCGATTACATTGAAGGTCCCATCACATTCCCCCCTACTTATAAGTATGACAGCAATTCGGATGAATATGACACAAGGTATTTTAAACTCGAACTTGAAAGCCCTCAGCATTCATTGCTAAATGCTAAGAATTATTCTTATTATTATTATTTTCGATTAACCGATGTTCAGTGAAAAGCAGCGAATACCTGCGTGGACGGGTAAGTGTTTTGATGTGCGTACATGCTACAGACTTGTTCATTACGACAGTATTAAGAGAGACGCTTTTTATACGTAGATCGAATTTTGTACTGCGATAATAGAGGGGTAAGTGTCAAACGATTAATAAGTAGAGATGACTGCTTGATATTGGATCACCAAGTTTTACCCAACACTTTACGTAGATTCGGCAGATCGGATATACCAGAGCAGAAATAAGATTATCTGACCATAGACCAGGTATAGACGCATTAGCACGTCGCTTTTTGAGTGACTTTGCGTTTTCTACTGTGTTAACTGTTTAGCAAATTTTTTTTAGTTATGGCATCATTTGAAATTGAAGTGATTAGATATGACGAAGAGGAAAGAGAAAAAATTAGTCGAGAACTTTATTTGGAAAAGTTAAAGGTTGTGTCAAAGTATGATGACAATACACACAATATAAAGAAGGGAGCGGATTATGAGAATTTTAATGATGCCAGTAAAAACTGGAGTAAACTTGCTAAAAACGTTAAGAGGGTCAATGATCCAGTGATGATTGATCGTATTACAGAAGAAACCAATCATAAGGATTTAACTGGAACTAATGGTAAAAAAAGTGTCGCCGAAAAGGTTGATAAAAATGTTGGTCCGGCTGTTGGTATTCTTATCGACCTGTTCGACGAAGATAAGGGTAACAAACGTTAGTAAATTTAACATTCGGCGTTTGAGAGTTGTCTCGTGCTCGTCCATTTGATGATCATTTCATTTATCTAGAGACTGTCCTTCCTCAGACCACTGAACAGGCTCGAAGGTTGACAGATGACTTGGGTATGTTTATACAATATACCTTTACCTTCCTTCCAGATCAATTTTACTGAAAGTCAAACTTTACTGTAGCACCCGAATCATCGGTGGTTGCGGACAGATATATTAAGAATCGAGGATTGCATTCTCCGAGTGATAAAGTAAAACATAAGGAGAAACCGCCAATACCAGAAAAACCCTCAAACCTGTCTCAGAAAAAATCACCACCATCACTGCCACCACGTAAACCATTGGTAACACCGAAATCAGAAAAAGCTGTCACTCTGAGAAGGGACAATACATCATTTGAGAGAAATGTTCCTTCGCAGACCGCTAAACCTGCGATACCTAAAAGGTATGAGAAGTCTAACAGCATTCCGAGGAGAAATTCTTTTGATGACGATTGGCCGTCACATTATGCGAAAAAAGTCGTGTCCAAACAGAATGGCGGGTTAAATGACAATCCAAGAAAAAATATGTTTGTTGAGGATGATGACGTATTTTTGGCAAGTGCCCCAATGTTCAATAATTTTTCCACAGACAACGGTTTTCCAACTGAAGTAAAATTAATCAGGAAAGAAGGTATTTCATTGTTGAATTTTTAGCTAATTGCAAATGATTAATTCGTATGATGGTTTGCAAAATTTTTAATATTGAAAATTATATTATTAATGAATTTCGTTAATAGCTTCAGGTTCGAAGAAAGCACCTCCGATTAAACCAAAACCAAAGTCGATTAAAAATACGTCCCCCCAAGAAACCGAAGCATTAAATGATAGTAATACATTGATTGACGTTTCTTCTAATGACTCCCCGTCGAATCTGAGGCAAACGTGTAAGTA